TTACATTCCCACCAACAGTGAATAAGAGTTCCAGTTTCTCCAAATCCTCGCCACCATTTGTTGGTTGCTGTTCTGTTAAATTTTGCTATTCTTACTGGGGTGAGATGATATTTCATAGTTGTTTCGGAAGGCTGTATTCTTTTATGTCCTACAATAAGCGCTTCAAGTCCTCCTCACTTCAGTAAGCAAGGTTGCATCACCTGCATAATGCAGGTCCTTGTGGAGTCTCCCTCTGTTCTTGATGCCACACTCCTCTTCATAGAGTCCAGATCCTTGAATCATTTGCTCAGCATACAGATTAAGTAGGTACGGAGAGAATATAGCTCTGTGTACTTCCTTCTTAATTTTAAACCACACAGTGTTTTCCTGTTCTGTTCTCACAACAGTCCTTGGTCTAGGTATATGTTTCATATGAGCACAATTTAGTGCTCTGGGATTCCCATATTTCTCATTTTTAGAGATAACTTGTTAAAATGCACACAGTCAAATGCCCTTTTTATAGTCAATAAAACATAAATAGATATTCTTCTTGTATTCTTTATTTTCAGCCAGAATCCATTTGACATCAACAAAGATATCACTAGTATCAACAATTATATCCTTCTTCTAAATCTGGCTTGAACTTATGGCAATTCCCTATCTATGTACCGTTTTTGCCATTTTAGAGTGATCTTCAGCAGTATTTTGCTTTGTTGTTGTTATGTGCTGTTGAGTCACTTGTGACTCATAGTGACCCTATGTACAAAGCTCTGAACCTTGCTCTCTCCTGACCTTATTGTCTCTGACACATCTAATTACCCCAATAACTGAACCAATCTATCTCATTGAGGGTCTTCCTCTCTTGCACTGTCCGTCTACCCTCCAAAGCATGATGGACTGATCCTGGCTTGCAACATGCCCAAATGTCAAACAGAGATTCATAATCCTTGCCTTCAAGGAGCAGTATGGTTTCACCCTCTCTACGACTAACCTGTTTTGTTCTCCTAGCTGTCCATGGTATATTCAATACTCTTCTCCAGCATCATTGTCCAGCTTTCTGATGCACAAAAAGTAATTGCAAAAACCTTGACCAGTATCAGGTGCACCTCAGCCTCTAGACTGACATCATCGCTTTTCAGTACTCTGAAGAGGTCCCTGAGAGCAGACTATCCCAATGCAGTTCATCTTTTGATTTCCTGGCTGCTGGTCCCAAGAGTGTTGATTTTGGAGCCAAATAAACTGAAGCTGTTAGCAATCTCAATCTCTTCACCATCTGTCTTGATAGTGCCATCAAGAAAACAAAGAATTTTTGTTTTCTTGGTATTGAGATTCAATTGATCTATATTCAATCCATGTATTGAGATTCAGTCCTTGACATTCTGCAGCAAACACTTCAGGTTCTCCTCAATTTCAGCAAGCAGGGTTGTATCATCTGCATAACGCAGATTGTTGAGGAATCTTCCTCTGATTCTGATGCCACATTTCTCCTCATACAGCCCAGCCTCCCAGATAATCTGTTCTGCATATAGATTGAAAAGGTATGGAGATAAGATACATCCCTGGCGTACACACTTCCTAATTTTGAACATGCAGTGTTTCCTTGCTCTATTCTGGTGAACACTTCACCAGTAACATACACATACCAGGAAGTCCAGTGAATAACACTA